GAGCACAAAATAAAATAAGGACAATCGTAAGACCAGCCAGCTTCATTCAAATTCAATGTTATAATCATTTGCCAGGATTAGTATTAGAGTATTAATAAGAAAATGCACACTCAGAACATAGTTAGCTTATAATACCCAGGTGTAAAACACACTATCTATATGGTAGAACCACAGTACACCAGAAGTTTGCTCAATAAGATCAATGGCTCAAGTTAGCATGTTACATACTTCTAAAACTCCCATACAAAGCAACTGCCAGCAACACTGAAGAACAATTACAGCACTGGATCGAGATCCAGATATGATTGAATATCACAAATGTGGTCAACATAAAAAAAAGTAATATAATGACTGATTATGAGACAACAAAGCTTTGTGATTAATGATTAAAAAGAAAACAAAGGTTTGGAGCCACACTTAGATGGAAAGTAGTAGTTTCCCGTCATAAGAAGATAAACAAACAAAAACAGTAGAATTAAGAGATGTCAAGAATGGAATGTAATCCAGATCATCAGCACATTGCTAGTTAAAAAAACGGTTGGTGGAACAACCCTTAGTCAGTTTTTCTACAATTTTCTCTTTTTTCTAGACAAAGAAAAAAACAAACACAGACGGCATGCAGAAGCATCCCCACCGACCAATGCATAATGAGGTATTCTTTTTTTATATATATTTTGGGTTATTTTAAATAAATATATTGATTAAATTGCAAAGTTATGAGATAGAGACATTAAATATTCCACCACAATAGCTAGCTAGCTACAGTTAGTAATAAATAATGATTGTTAAACACTTAAGGCATCTTTAATCACAGCATTCTATGTGAACTAGCGCACCTCCATTTTCATCCATCTGTACTTTTTTGGATGGAGGTTTAATACAAAAAAGGAAGAAAGAAAAAAACACAAAAGCAACACAGTCAAGTTACTCTCCAGTAATACACAGGGAAGCGGGAAATACTTGAAACTGATAAGAAACACAAAAACCAGGACAAGAACCCACTTCACCAAACCAAAAAAGTTCAGGCAACTCCATATTATAGTGCATTTACAAAAACACAAGTTACATTAGAACGACGATAAATGTTTTCGCAGCATTGCAGCTTTTTCTTCACCGTGGTAACAAGTGAACAAGGACTTGGCATATTAGTACCACGCCTCTATTGGCATGTGAGCAAAGAAACGAAAACAATAAAGGTACTCAAAGAAGCAAATGGTAAAAAAAAGGAAAAAAAAATGAAGAAAAGGAACTTAAAACAAAAGACAACTTTTTTAAGAACTGTTTGGTATTTTTAAAATGAATGGCTTTTTCTCCCTTTCACCCTCCTTCAAGTGAACTACATGGTTCATGCATGATAGTGAGAAAACGGCTTCTACCACTGCACGTGATCACAGTTGTTCTAGCAATGCCGACACTACTGCCGTGGTAGAGAGGGATTGTGGGGACAATCGTACAACATTCTAGCTCAAACGAAAAAAAAAAAATCTAGTTTATTTTCTCCCTGTAACACAAGAGACGGTCTTTTTATCAGACAGTGGGAGCAACTGAGATTGAAACGAAGAGAAGCCGATACACAACAGAGGCAATTCACTGGATATAGAAAATCACATGTGCTTGTTCGATAGGCAATAAGGTTCTGATAAGAGGTGAGACAAATGTCGCATTTTTTCCACTCTGATGAAAAGACTGAGGCACTGCATCCTCAAGCCCATGCCGGCCTCTCGGGATGACGATCATGGGCACAATCGTGACGAGAGTCGCACCGACACCGCGTATGTGCAGGTGTTGACTACGATCAGTCGGAGGATTTAGGGTCAGTGTTAATGTTCATTGGGGTTAGAGAGTGAGACTCGTACAGCAGCACAATGAACGGGTTGTGTGTGTTTCTAGTACAGAAATGTAAAATCAAGGTTCATTCCATTAAACAAAAGGATTTAAAGGTAGAGTATGCATAAATATTTTAGAAAAACAATAATAAACCTTAGAGTTGTTAAATCCCAAAGGTCTCACTAACGATGTAGAGGCTCTGCCCTCCAACTGTGCTTTTTTTTCTCTCGTACCTTTTTTTTTTCTAATTGGTCAACATGTTTCTGGGTGGATAGAGTATGTTTACCAGTAAAAACTGGATCCAGTAGCTGTCAGAGCTCCAGTATAAATCCTGACATATATTTTTCGTTAGCTGTGTAGTGAAATACAATTTGTGAGATTATTTAAGAGAGTTTTAAGTTGCAGGTTTATACATTACCATAGTAGGTATTACAGTATGTCAAGGTTAAAATAAGCCAATAAGCGCTTGTTGTGGCGTTAGATGACTTTGTTATAAAGGTATCTCTTATTTGCCTCTGAATTTTATTTTTTCAGTTTCTCGTAGCTTTTTAAAAATGATTTAAACACAAATTTAAAGACTAAATCGCAGGTGACAGAGAGGCAGGTACATGCCGTATTTAAACAAACAGCAGAAGAAAATAGCTGCATATTCAACCTTTAAATTGATTTTTAACTATTTCTAACATTATCATTGGTCCAGAGTGTCAGAATCAGTGCGACCCTAATCACGATCATGAGTGAGGCAACACAGACGAGTTGCTGTTAGACACAGATCCACTGAGCAGCTCTTGGAATCCTAATCACAAACACTAGGAGAGAAGCGCTACATGAGTCCAGGATCGGTGTCTAAGGGCAGTTTTGGTCAATTCTAGGTGGGGGTGGGGGGACACTGTGGACACATTCTTGTCCTCCTGTATGAAGGAGTGGGATCCTCAGTCCTAGTCCCAGAGTCCTAGTACAGTATACGCTTCACATGCACAGACACAATCCCTGTTTCTACGGCTCCACAATACGAACGACACAGCCCAAGCCTGCCATACAGCATGCACATCCGAGGCCTCCGCCCTAGATCATGGAGGCCTACGACTACGACACTACACACATCACTGAAGCCATGCCTGCAGTTAGCGGGTTTAGCATTAAACTCTGATGGCATCTACTGACTGTAAATCCAAAACCATGTTAGACGAGAAAGAGGGAGGTTTTTGGCCTTTTTTTTTTTTTTTTTTTTTTTACACAACTAGCTCGTTCTCTCGCTGCCCAAGAGTTAACACATCAAGTAGTAGCATGGTCAGAGCTGTCTCCGCCTTCTCTGTGGGGTTTTATTTTTCACAAACATATTTCTCAAAAGGTTTTTTTTCTTTGCTACACAACACTGTTACTCTGTAAAAACTTATTCAGTACTATACTCCATTACACCACAAGCATTCAGCTACGAGAGTTCACACCAAACAACCTCATGCTAATCATTTGATAATGTTCTGTACAGATGTGCAGAGGGCTTGGGCAGCTTAAAGGATTTTCCACAGGCCTGGGGGGGCGGGGGCAGGTTTTAGATGTTGTGGTGGAGAGATGGTGCTAATACACCGCACTGAGTTGGGGAGGTTGGTTGTGCTGTAGTTGGTAGGTTGGTAGAGAGTGTTCGTTCTCTTTTTGAATTTCTCTTTGTAAAAGCATGCAATGTTAGGCTCGCTCGCTCACTCACTCACTCACTCTCTCACCCACTCCAGATGACTCCCACTCGCTCTCTCATCTGTTCACATGTGTGCGCTGCTGTCCTTCAGTCCATTCAAACCAACCTTCCGTTCAGCTACAGTGTGTGTTCGTCAACCCCCCTTCCCATTGTGTTGTAGGTGAGTGTGCTTTGTTGATCCCCCCTCGTCACAGCGATCTAAGAAGGCAGACTCGTAAAGTGATGCAGGGGGAGGGGGGAGAGGGGAGGGACATTTGGCAGAGCTTCTCCTCAGGTGGGAGGCGATGGAAAATTAACAAGACCAGATCCAAAGCCGCAGGAGTCGACAGGTACAATCAACTGTCAGGGGTCAGCTGGGTCTCAATGTCCACTCTGCAGATGGGGCATTTCCTGCTGGTGGCCAACCATTGGTCCACACATGCTTGGTGGAAAAGGTGCATGCAGGGTAATCTCCTGCAGAAACAGAGGATTAAATGCTCACTTCTCATCTGCAGTCGGAGTTAGCGTCGTCTGTTTAGCTGCTAACTTGTGCAAACAGAAACTGTTTGTGCTTTGGAACGCAGAAGTTTTAAAAATAGTTTTTAGTGGTGGTTTTGTCTTCCAACACTACAGCAGCTTGAGGCATATTTCAGAAAACCTCTGACAGTACGTGTTTCTAACTAGCTTCTACAAATCCCAAATTTAAATCCCATTAGAAAATCTGTGAATTGAACTAAAGGCAATGACAGAAGAAAATAAATCTGAAGGAGCAGAGGAGATTCACCTGAGAAAAATGGGCTGCGATTCCACAAAAACATTTGCATAATTGTTGGAAACAGACATGGAATACCTTCTGTAGACAGTAGACTTTTAGTGATCAGAAGATATATTTATCCTCATCATGGTATTTTCTTAATTTATGTGAAATCACATTGTTTCCATATGCAAAGTAAATAGTGATAGGATTCCTGTCTGTCGTGCATAATGACCAGGTTCAAATCCATCAAATCACTATGGTAATGGAAACAGAGGATGGAAAATAAAAATTTAATTTAAAATGTATTTACATTATTTAAATATAACATATAAATTTAAATTATAACAACATTGAATTACTATACTGGGCTGCATAAAGATGCTTTATAGCTTGTGATGTGACAATAGTAAATGTTGAAGTTGAATGCTTTGAAAAAGTTTCTATACATGTAATTCATGGAGCCTGGCTCTTTAAGTTTCCAGATTGTGTCCAGAATAGATGCACTTGTCGGTCTGCGGTTCACATTTGGCACCAGTCTGTTTCTCAGGTGACCTCAGATCACATTTCTCCTGCAGCTCACACTTGATTTTCACAGCGGGGAAACTGTGCCTGATGCCAAGAACCAACATTTAGACCTAACAGTGTATTTAGAGAGAGTGCTGTGAGTGGCATTAGTGATTAGTTCCTTAAAAAAATGTATATCTACACATTTTTTATGCTCCTTTAGGAGGACATTTGCATTCACACAGCAGCAGCCAGAGGTTGTTTTGAGGTTAGAAGATTAAAAGGATTTATCGTGAGACCTATAAAAGGAAAAGGATTTACATTTAAAATGCAACATTAAAGGAAATTAAATTTCCATTTGCAGGATGTTGGTGAACTAATATGGCTCATAAAAACATATGTTTCCCTAATGAGCATCATCAGTTGTCTCTTTGCCTACAAATGGAATTCCCCACACTTGTGTTATAGTTCTGACAGCTGTTCATCCATCCATCTTAAACACACAAAAACAGAGCAAACAACATGATATATTCCCTCGAGCTTAACCAATACAAACAATACTGTATACTTTACTTTAGTGTTGAAAACAGCCGTTCAACCGCTAACACCAGACCTGAAAAGATTTTAATTTTTTAGTCTCCGTCTCCTTTTGTGTCTTAGAAAGTGGAATAAATTGCGCCCGTTAGATCACAGCGCTGGACGCACATCTTGAGACTTTTGAAATGCTAATGTTGCCTTCAGGCGAAACTTTCAATGTGAGCAGTTGGGAGGAAATCGTGTGGTGATGGGTTTTGGTGCTAATACTTTGAACTTGTATGGCAGAAACAATTTGGAGTCAAATATACAAGCATGGATATATATGGTTGTTGGGCCACTGTGGTGCACAGCCAGGAGGGAAGGTGATGTTTTTTCTAGGAAAGTACAAATGTGCACACTAGGTCTGCCGCTACTTTCTTCGAGTGAAATAAAAACGTTGGACGATGTGAATGGGCTGTGGAAAAGCCCGGGTAATCGCCAAATAAATGAACCCTGAAATTTTATCTCTTCTTATTCAAATATTGATCATCGAATGTTTGTTCTTCCTATTACTGGGAGCAGAATTCACCGAGTATTAGATTGTTTATTCACTAATAGAGAACTTGAGCAGAGTTTGGATTTGAATATGACCTTTATCCTACTGTTGGAAAAGTAATCCTTAGATAACATACAGCAAATCTCATGGTGATATTGCTAAGGTCAAAGGACCAACAGATTTTTTCGGATGAATCATTATATAAAGCTTTTTGTAACAATATGTTAAAAAATCCTTGTTAACAAAATAACTTGCTGGTTTACAATGAAACGTACAGGTCACAGTGTTGGCAAGCTGTGTTGTCTGTGTGTTTGTTAGTCATTATAGACCACAGCTAGTGGGGCAGTGGTGGATTAGTGGTTAAGGAAGCAGACTTGGGAAGGTTTCAGGTTCGAGTCCACCAGCTGCCAAGTTACCGTTCTGAGCATGACACCGTCCCCACTCACTGCTCCCCTTAAAGCTGCCCACTGTTCACTTTGGTGATGGGTTAATGTAGCAGAGGTCACATTTGGTTGTGTGCAGTGATGAGCTGTGTCACAGTGACAAGGAGTTCACTTTCCTTTCCTTTAATGTAGCTACATTATCGACCTCTGCGTGGGGCTACTACATCAAATTTCTTACAGTTCCTTTTTTTAGTTTTTCTAGAATAAATCAGAGAATTTTTTTTAAAACTGGTTAAGCATGAGCTATATTACACAAACTAAAGCTGGTTATGTTAGCAGAGGTAGCAGATGGAAGGATAAAAGGCTAAATATAAAACAAAAATAACATTAAAACTCAAGATAAAGGTTGAAAAAAAAAGAAAATATGTTTCTCTTATAAATAAACCCAACAGCGCCACCCAAGAGACACACATTTATCAAAGGTAGCAGCAGTTGTAAGCAATATGTAAATAAGCTTTTTTTTAAATGTTTTTTAGTGTTTTTTAATTTATTTGACTAAAATGTTTCTTGTACTTTATGTATAAACGCTTTATTTAATCCAGTCCATCCACAGCCTAAAGGCTATTGGCTAATGTAGTTACTGCACCAGTGTAAGCTAAACACTAACTCACTCCAGATTTTGATTGTAGTTCAATTTATCAAGAACACAGCTTTTTTATTTAAGCATAGGATGAATATGCAGCTACAAGGCTATGAGGTGAGCTCTTATCTATGTAATGAGCTACAATACTTTTTGTCAATGTTTTTATCCACATGTAGAGGAGGGGAGTCATTGGATAATATCAAAAAATCCAAAGAAGTCAAACTAAGGTCTACATCATTATTTTACTGACTTTCTGCAAACATCACAAAAACATTGTCGCTGAGGAGCTTCATACACTTTTTTTGAACACATTTGCATAGCTACTACTTTGCTACTGAATAAAGTGATAAAATTGGGGTTTTACCTGACATCCTCCCCATCCTCCAGCATTGACAGACAGATGGTGCACTTCTCATCTGTGTCCAGCTCCTCGTCCTCCAGACACATCTTCAGGTCCTGTGGTATTCTCTGCAGTGGGCAGAAACAATCAGACTCCAAAGATCATCACAGCAATTTGCACAGGAGCGTGTTATTTTCTATTCATTTAGTGACTCTGAGTCATGTTTAAAGAAAAAGAAGGAAAAAAAACATGCACTTAGATTGACGTCAGACACAAACAGCCCAAGTACTTCCTCTCCGTCTCTGTCTCCAAGAACTAAATTGTTGACATTAATTTCCCATTTGGGTAATTTTTTGGGTCATTTGGTTTTTTTGTATTCACTGTTCGCACATATCCGCTGATTAATTCAATGGAGACCTTTGTCACTAATGTGAATACAAAAATTGGTCTGAATTCTGAACTACCAATTAATCATAATGGCAAAAAGTTCTTGTTTTGTTTGGTTTTCGGATACCAAGTATCTTACTGACATTTTTAAAACCAGTGATTATGTTGTATCAGCAATGAGTCGTTTCCTGAGCTCCTGGCCAACTTTTTGTTTTGGGTTATTAGCATCCACTCTACTGATTCAGTGTGCAGCCGGAACTGTATTAACCACAAAAAGTAAATAGAAAAACATAAACAGAGGGAGCTATTCCTGCAGATGAACCAAGGCATTGGTAAATTGGGATTCTGTGCAATATTTTAAAGAAAATATCTGTTTATTTCTTGGTTTTGGTTCTGTGCTTCATCAGAACTACTCCATTGTGAGTACATTAATCGTATGGGAAAACTACTTTACCTTTTTGTACTTGTGGGGGAAGGTGAATCTCTCTATGGTGGTTTGGACTGCGCCACGGTTCACACTGCCCAGCCTGTCCTCCAGCTGTAGAAGCTCCTTAACAGAATGTAACATAGTATTACTTTGGCGAGTCGGTCGGGTTAAATAGATGGGGGAGGGGGAAGGAGGAGGGTGGTATGATTGTGTTTCCCCAGATAACAAGCAGAACCGGCATTTGTCATTAAAAATTCAGATGATTTGCATACGACGTAGAACAAATGTACACAGTGAAAGATGATCGAGAATCTCTTTGACTTCTCCAAATCAAAACACACCGACAACACAAGGTATTATGGGGCCAGAATAAATACAAATGAGACAGTCAGACGCATACACAGGCCTGTGCTACACATTGGCCACAAAGACCAGTGTGAGGAGAGAGTCAGAGAGATGGAGGCACAAACCTCATAGCTCTCTCTAACAGCAGACACATGGCGGGCGGGGTTGAGACTCTGCAGAGCCAGCAAGTGCAGCTGGGGATATGGGTAGTTTCTGATCTCATGGACAACCTGAAAGATGACAGATAAAAGGAGCAGAAGTCAGCTCTGCAGCAGTAATTAGGCGAGGAGAGGACAAGGCTTATTCTGGTTGCCAGGCACCAAGATTAATCTCGGAGTTCAACAAGACAAGCGTGATTGATGACATGCAAAGGAAGCGGCGGCTCACCACTTGTGTTGAGGCATTGTTTCGAGGGAAGTGGTGCATCCTAGGAGAGGTCAAGTAGTGCTGATAGTGCTGTGGCAGTGGATGGATGTGATACTGGTGTGGTGGCAGCCCAGCATCTACACTCAGATCCCTGTGCCGGGACAGAGCAACAAAGAAATGTCTGGATTTTTATTGAGTTTATGTCAGATACATTTTGTGACTGTCTGGAACTGCAGTCAATCCTAAATCAGGAGGCATTTAATGCAAATGTTTTTTGAGGAAACTTTAAAGTTGGGGGTGTCTAAAACCTCCACCGATAAATAAAATAAACGTTTTCTACATTCTACCAGCATATACAAATTTCGGAGCGGCGCAAAGCATTTTGACTATTTAAACGGCAATAAAGCAGTGTATGTGTTTGGCCTTCTATCCAACCAGGTATTACATTTGGTTTACAGTATCAAAACTCTGACTTTGAGATAATGATGTGGTAATATTGAATAGGAATGTTGGCAAAATAAAATATTTTGTCTAAATAAAAAAAGTCCATGAAATAAAGCTGGAAGAAATCTGTCCTTAAACTGTTGTGACTGCTCACATGCAGACGCTCCCCTTGATGGGTTAAAACGAATGTGGATTTACCAATTCACAAACTTAATATCACCAATTAATAGGACAATTGTGTTTTTCATTAGTGGAATTAGTTGACAAATTTGTAGCCGACCTAGTCCCCTCATAATTTAATTTGTCCTTCACTGCTGGTAAATTTGTTTTTATTAACTTCCACCCCAGAGAAAGGACCGTACTTTTCAACAATGACACATTTCTATTGTGAAGAATTTAACCTTAAAACCTTTTTTAAAATAATTTATCATATAAAAAATATTTTTCTTCAGAGTCTTGGTTCTATGACTTACCAATCAGTGCCCTCGGCCAGGTAGCGAGGCTGCTGCACCATAGGCTGGGGAGGGACATGAAGAGGAGGAGCAAACTCGTAGCCAGGTCGCAATCTGTGGGGCTGGTGAGGAACTCTTTCTGGGGTGCGTCTACTGAAACAACGAACCAGGCTTTTGAAAAATTCTTGTTTTTTTTTAAATGGATTCATATGGACTTGCACAACTATCATGTATAACAAAGAAATTGTAATTCTGTACGAGAGAACAAAAAAAAAAAATCAAATCAAAATCATATCCTGACCAAATACTAGCACTGCGTATGGTGTTGGAGATGCTGTTTGAGCTGCTAAGCTAGGAAGTTAAGCTAGAAAAGTCTTTGATCCTTTAAAGTGAAATACTTAAAGCTTATGCAAGACCACACTTGTTTTCAATGTTTCTGTGCCTGGAAATGGGATGAAATGTGACTAGGCTAATTTGGCTAAAGCTAACATAGTTGCCCTCATTCTAACGTTGTATATTTATTTCAAAAGTCAATTTAAAGTCTAAACTGAAACTAACCCAAAAATCAAAAGTACCAGTGGGGCTAACCTGCTAAAATAAATGTTAAATTAAAAATGAGGGAATTCTGAACACACCATAAACTGCCTTCCTATCGGGCCTTGGCTTTACTTGTACCATATCTTATGCTGCCAGTTGACAGTAAATCTGCATTTATACCTGGAGGGTGGCAGGATGTGTCTGTGCTGGGCCTCGAGGATCTGCTGCTGGAGGAGGTATTGCTGGTGTAATGCCTGAGGTAGGAAGGGAGGGGCAGGGATGTCCTGAAACTGGGCAGTGGGAATGGGGTTGAGGGGTGGGTGGAGCAGAGGGCCATGCTGGTGACCCGGGGGTGCCAAGTGGGGGTTAATGCCTGACTGTGGCTGGCCCGGGTGGGGCATTGGGAAATCCATGGGCAGCGGGGCCTGCGGACCTAACTGAAAGTGCCGGCAAGAGGTAGCATGGCTAGAACAAAGCTGCTGTTGCTGCTGTTGCTGCTGTTGCCGGGTGAAATGGGATCCTGCGGAGCATAAGGAGAAGCTGTCAGGAGTCTGATGGAGATTAGCTGGAATTAATTCTGGCTGATATGTGGTGTCATTGTGTGTGTGTGTGGTATAGCATGTTAATGAAGCCCTACCTCTTAACTAAGGTGAAAAACACTTCTGTAGGGTGGGAAAATTACGGTTACCACTAGCACCATGAACATGACAACCACGTGCATTCAGTTCTCGCCACATTTTAAATAGTATTCCAAACTTCTGCTTTGACTCCTGGTCTTCTGATTCACAGACAAGTGAACTATATGGTCTCCCTCGCAGCTGAGTTCTGTAGCAGTGCAAGTAAACATTTAGTACCAGGTATAAAATATATTGTACATCCCAGTTTGTTCCCAACTCATCATTCATTTACAGCGTATATATATATATATATATATATATATA